GTTTCCCCTTCCTGTGTGCCTACGTGCCAGGGTGCCCAGGCTGTTGCTGAGAGCGTGGAGCAGAAAGAAGTGAATGGGGATTGCTGGTAATTAGCTGTTCCTTAAGGGGCTGGAGTATTCCCCCCCATCTGGGGGGTCTTAACAAATTGCCACGAGTGTTTGCAATTATTAATAAACAGTTCTGTTAGCTGCCTTTCAAGAAAGCCTGATAATGGTGCTGTCTGTAAAAACACAGCTAATTAAGTAAATAAGTGGGAAGTACAGGAGAAGAATGTGTTAGAAAGAGATGATGACTGTTGTTGGGCTCATCTTTTATGGGGTGAAGGAACCTGTGATTATCCTTTTTATAAAGACATCCCTCAAAGCAGTTAGTCCAAGAATTTAAGGCTCCCTTTGTGCTTTTGGCCCGCTTGACAAACTGATTGACAAAGGGAGGTTGTGCTGCCTCCAGGCAGAGGCTGGTGCAGGGCAAAGGCACTGCTCTCTTGCATCCTTGCCAAAGAGATAATAATAAATGTTTTATGATTCAGAGGAAAATATATTCAGATGCTTGAGATAACTCCCTTGGAGTTAGAGAGGAGGATGCCTCATCACTGCTTCTTTGAGGGTGCTTTGGGAGAGCAGTGAGACACCAGGATTTCAGGTGGGTGTGACTGTGGATAATGGATTCCACTCTTCTTTAGTACTCCAGATGTGGGCTGATCTGGAAGGGGGTTGAATAAGAAATTATCTCCTTCCAAAAGTTAATCTGGGAGGATTATAAAATCCATTAGTATTAGAAGGAGCAGAACGAGATGGAGGCAAGTGTGATTTCTTAATTTAACGTATAGATTTATCATCAACAGAGCAGAGCAAAATAATGGGCTAAAAAGCAGAATCTAACGGGCATTTTTAAATGTCTCCATTATTTGCCACCCTTAAGTGAGCATTTGAATGATTTGGCTATTTTATGAAAAAATGTCAATGGAAAATTAATTTCCGAGTCATGTGCATGAATATTGATGGAAAGCATCATTTCAATACAGACGATTATTACTGTTGTAATTGGGGCCATTAGGAGCTGCAACCCTGTCACTTTAGGTAGCTGGTGATGAGTAAACAACTGACTGTGAAGTGTGAATGTGTGAGCAATGCCTGAAATCCACTTTTGTGATGACCAAGCAGTGCTCTGCTCCAGCACCCACCCAAAATCCCCCATGACTGGGGTGCAGGTGAGAAGTGGCCGCTGGCTTGGTGCCATCACTGCTGGTTTGGGATTTCCCAGATGGAAGAGGCGTGTCCTGGAGCTTTGGGATAACCTTAGTGGGTGACTCTGCACATGAGCACTCTGTGAGGTTTGTTGTCAGTGTGGAAAGAGCAGGAATGGCTGAGCACCTTTAGGTGGAGAGATGGGATTGAGGTGTGTCAGGAAATCAGGTCAGACTTGGGCAAAATGTAGGGGAAATCTGATTTTCCTGGCTGTGCACTGGAGGGTTTCCCTCATGGAGATGCCTCCCCTGAGCAAGGCAGAGAGTACATGACCAGAGATGCTCAATTAGAAGAGCAGCTTCACACTGGAGGCACATCTAAAGCTGCTCCTCTTTGCCCTTAGACACAGAGGATGAATATTTTTTATTAACCAGCACAGGTTCTGCTGCAGGAACAGTTTAAACACACAATCTTGAGGGTTTTTTTTTTTTTTTTTTGCTGCTCATCCATTTCTGGGGCTCTGTAAGACTTCACATCTAACAATACACAACAAAGTGCTTCAAAGAGGGTTCATGAAATACAGATTATGGTGGTTTTGCATGGTGTGACAAGGAAATTTTGTTGTGCTTGTGTTTATGCCTGTATACAGCTGGAACATCCCTGCAAATACATATTATTTTATCACTTAATTTTAAAGAGCTGCTACAACACATAGATGCCTGTTACTGTTCCAGAAGAAGAGCAGGAGGTGCGTGGGATATGTTCCTGCTCTGTGTTGAGCTCAGGGACACAGGGATTGGGAATCTTGTGTGACTCCTGCTCAGCTCCCACTTCACACACAGTTACTTCAGTGCTTTTAACCTTAGCAAATCACACCCAGAACAATCATTTCTGCCCTGGAGAGGCTGGGAATTGCCTCACATGGCTCAAAATGGGGCATAAAACTTTCAAAGCAGGAGTTCACAGCCTGCTTTCTGGCTGGTGTCCCTCCCAGGTTTGGCTCCCTGGCATCAGTGGGCAAACAGGAGCACCTGTGTGATTGTCCCTGGCAGCAGCATCTCTCTCGTGACAAGAATGCCTCTTTTTACCCCTTTGGTGGTGATTTGCCTTGAAAACCCTGCTGAGAGCATCTCTTATCTCTCTGTTTTAAAGGATTCTCTGCAGAGGATGGGAGGTGCTGGCCCAGCCCTTCCTCCTGCAAGTGAAGGACCTAACCTGCTTTTCTTAAATGCTGGCAGAGTTTCCTCTTTTGTGTTTTGAATGTGATATAATTATTAGGTGCATCAAAAGCATGCATTGCAAAGCTGAGACAGAGAGATTAATGACTTGCTGTAATAATGGATTATTAATGATCCATGATTATACCCACATTTGCTTTGTGACTTCAGCTTGTTCAGGTCAGAGCTCTCTCCTGCTCTGAGTTCTGTTTCTGCATCAGCTTCCACTGCTGGTTGGGTACCAAAGGAAAAAAAAAAAAAAGTGAATTCTGCTCCCCTCAATTGATGTAGGATAATCACTTTTGGTGTGTGACTTGATTTGAGTCCATCTGTGACAATTTTTTGTGGAAGGAAGCTTCTCTTTTTAAGATAGACATTAAGTGCTTAGAATTGCTATGAGATAAATTTAAAGCATGATTTATTCTAAATTAGCTTTAAAGGGTTTTTGTATTTTTTTTTAAATCCAAAAGAATTGATTACTAGCCATACCAAAAACTGGGAGAAGTTACTGCAGTGGTTTGGCTGTACAAAATTAATCTCAGATATAACTCCTAGCCCTGCTTCACATCTGGGCTGGCTTCAGCCCTGCTGAATCCTCTTGCAAGAACAGGCTCCAGGTGTTCCTGCCTCCTCACAGCAAACAAATGGCTGCATTAGCTTTCAGGAAACGTTTAATGGGTGTGCAACATGGAATATCAGTGTTGCAGTGCATGGCTTTATTAGCTGAGCTGCAGGAATTGTTGTCTGAGCTGTGTTGGTCCTTAGCACGGATTGCAGAATGGAAGGGAAGGTATTTATTAGTCCTTGGGAGCCTTGAGACAGAATAATACTTACCTGGCTGGAAATATGATCAGTCCTGTAATGGATACTGCTGTATTTAAGGAAGGAACACACAAACCCATTTTGGAACTGCTAAGTAAGAATTTTTAGGTGCCCTGGCAGGCACAGGGATGTGTCTCCCTGAAGATTTGGCACACACAAGGGCAAGTCATGAGGGTTTTCTGAATAAAACTGTAGGACAGGGCTTTATATTTCAAAAATAAAGATATGCCATCTCCCAGTTGCAGTGCTTAATCCTTCCAGTGTTCCCAGTCCACCAGAGCTAAGTGAGGTCCCAGTATGACCATGTCTTTCCATCTCCCAAAATAGCTGTTAAAATGTTATGAATGAAATTGTGTTTTGGTATGATTTACTCTAAGTGATAAGGTTTTACAGAAAATCTAAACATTGGAATGTTCATGCTTTTAAGTTAAGCCTCAAAATGAGGTGGTAACTTCTGTTTGAAAACCTGAGCAAATCAAGCAGTTCTGTTTTTCTTCAACACAGTATAATGAACATAGGTCAAATATTCCAAAATTTTAACTGTAGCAAGAACTTTGAAATTTTACTTTTACCAGCTCATAGAAAGAAATAATATTCCAGCATTTCCTGTGGTGGGTGTGCCTGTTTAGAGAAGCAGCCCTTGCAGTGCTTGTTCAGCTTTGCTCTGTGCTCTTTAGCCCCTGGAAACACAACCCACAAATGGTCTGATCAACCCTTCACCCTGTGAATGGTTTGTAATGAAACCAGCCCAGCTGGTCACAGGAACAGCCTTCTGCTGCCATTTTTGGGGCAGAGGGAGATTCCTTGGGAGAAAACCTTGAGCAGGTCATGGGCTTCTGGCTGCCTCCTGAAGCCCTTTGCCAAGAGGCTGCTGGAAGCTTAAATTGACCCAGAACAAGAGCAAATAATTCTGCAGCAGAGAGAGCACAGGTTAGAATTGTTCCCACTTCTAGTGAGGAAAAAAAAAAAGGGGAAGGGGTATAGTAAATAAATAGTCAATAATTGTAGTACTCTGAAACCTAATTACTTTTGGTATTTATTAAAAGGACCTGCATCATTCAAAATAGTGTGTATTAGCCAATTTTACTGATTATGCCTGCAGTCATGGAGAGTTTTGTTTGTATTGATCTGATCCAGAAGTGGGATTGGCTCTAGAAATGCCATTCTTGTCAGGCTCCTGTTTTGCATAATATAATGGCCATTTCAAAAGTTTAGATATACCCAGATTAATTTGCTCACAGATAAGAGCAACCCACAAGCTGATTAAGAGGAAAAGAAAGTTCTTTGAAACAAACAAACCAAAACCAGCCCAGCCCCACACTTGACCATTTAAGCAGCATCCCTGTCCAAGCAGGCTGAGCAGTGTGTGAAAAGGTGATCATGTAAAATGCTGCTTCTGGATTTATTTCTCTCTCTTTTTTTTTTTTTTTTTTTTGTCATTGCATGATGGCAGCAGGCTGATACCCTGAGCTGAGCTGGGATTCTGTGCTGGATTTTAACTGGGCTTCAAAATGTTGAACAGAGCAGTGTAATATTAAAGAGTGTCCTTTGGAAACTGTACTAAGATGGTGTTTCCTGACATTTCTTTGCTGTGCATTCAGCCTGGGGACTTGTGGAGAGACAATGTGTTTTTTACTGTTGTTTTTCTTCTATTTGATTGTTTAAAGCTGGGAAGAGCTGGGGTCTTAAGGACAGTGATAGGGCAAACAATGTTGGGTGTAGGTCTTCTGCCCAGGTTGCTCTTGGTCCAAACTTCTAATCAGAATAGTGAAAATGCTGAATTATCCAGGTCAGCTTGGATACCCAAGTCTCTCCAGCCTTGTGTCCTTCAGCCCATGATGGGACTGGCTCTGCCCAGTGTCTGATTCTGTCACTGGTGGAACTCGTGAGGCTTTGCTGAGACCTGAGTTTGGCCCTTTGGCTGCTGGGGTCAACCTGCTTGGCCTTTTTCCTGCATTTCTGCCTTTTTTCAGCCTTTCTGCATTTGGTGGTAAACACCAGCACTTGAGCCCATTTGGTGAGAGGTGTTTAAATTGCAGAGATGATCACAGGCTGTATTTCCACGTTCCTATCTCCACTGCTGATATTCAAGTGAATCATTACAGATTTTTGTTGCAACTCCCTGTATCAGTTTCTACAGACTTTATTGTGCTCCAGTGCCCCTGTTCCATAGTCCTGATGGATTGTGCTGTGTTTCTTTGCAGTGTGTGCTGGCACTGAGAACAAGCTGAGCTCCCTGTCTGACCTGGAGCAGCAGTACCGGGCCCTGCGCAAGTACTATGAGAACTGTGAGGTGGTGATGGGCAACCTGGAGATCACCAGCATCGAGCACAACAGGGACCTCTCCTTCCTGAGGGTAAGCAGCCTGCTCTTCTCCTCCCCTTCTCCTTCCTCCGTCCTTCCCTCTGCTCCTTTTTTGGGGGAGCAGCCATAGGTGCTGGGCTGGAAAAGACCAGCCAGCTCCTGTGCTGTGATGGAAGAGGATGATAAAATGCCAGGGAAGTGCAGAGAACAAGAGCAATGTCATTGCTGTGACAGGTGCTCTGAGTGTGAGTCATTTAGATTTATCCAGGATGTGGGGGAGAAAGCTGTGCCACTGGAAGGTGACACCTCGCAGGTCTCTCACTCTGTGTTGCCCCAGGGCGGGTTAGGTGGGGTTTGGGAAGGTCAGAGAATCATGCAGATAAGCACTGGAGGACTGGGGAAGCTAATCCTACTAAAATGCTAGATATGGACTGATTTATAGATTAAGCAAGGCAAGAAGTCTGGGAAATGTTTGTGGAGCATTTAAGAGAAAGAAAAAAGTGATTGCTGAATGAACATGAAGACTGGAGCTATGAGCCTAAAATCTCCAGCATCCAGGGGAAGTCTGTGATAGATGAAGGCTGTAGTGCTTTTGGGGAACCTTGGTTGTGCAGTCCCTCAGTCCTCTTTGCATCAAATTTTGGAATTTTGAAAGAACATTTCAGTATGGTTTGCAGATACCCTGTTGCCCTGCTGGCAACCACAAGAGGGAAAGGTGAATATTGAGTTAAAAAAACTTAAGCCCATCGTTATTTGGCATTTCACATTCTTTGTGTTTAAAGAAATATCCCACTAAAGGAGTGATCCAGGTGGGCATCTGAGGATGCTGCAGGTGATGTGGCTGTAATATGGAAGGTAGGTCTGAGGGCCAGGGTAGAAAAAGCAGCCTGTGCCAGTGTGGTTGCAGTCTGTGCTGTGATTGTACTCCCCATGACACAGATAAGAGTTTACACTGCTCATATTGCTCTCCTGTACCTCTTAAAAATGCTGCTGTCATGCTGCAGGATGTGTGTCTGTGTGTCAGTGGCACATTCACGTGGCAGGAGTGCTGGAGTTTAAATCTGGCAGCAGGAAGAGGCAGTGGGAGGCAGCCCCAGCTGGTTGGGTTACACTCACTCATTCCCTGTGCTGGGTCCTGGGTGAGCTGAGTGCTCAATTCCAGTCTGTGAAACTGTGAAACTGAAAACTTTGCAGCACAGTTCCTAGCAAAGGCACAGCCAAGCAGTGTGTTTAGCTCTGCTTCACGTTGAATTTTTTTGGGGTTTCACAGCCTTGCCACTCCATCCATGGGTGTATATTTACTCAGCTGCTGAAAGATCTGTGAGCAAAACTCAGCTACCAGACACGTCTGGAGTAGAGTTTGGGGTGCTAATTGCACCCAGACTAACAGGTTGCCTGTTAATTTGAGTGCCAAATGCCTCGGAAGTGGATGCTGTCCGTTCATTTCACAGTTGTGACAGGTGGGGAAAGCACATATGCCTTTGAATAGAAATAGATACAGCCTTGGTGCAGCTGGAGCAGTGTTGGACAGGTGGCAGTTCCTCCTCTGTGAGGGCAGGATCCTTGCTCTGACTGGGGCATCTCTGCAGTGTCAGATGCCTGCTGGTTCAAATTCATGGCAGGCAGTCCTTCCGCTTCAGCTTTCCTTCCTCCTGCTGGGAGGTGGGGAAAGCAAATTACTTGGAAATTAGGAATTAGTGTTCCTCACAGAGGGCTGCCATAAGCAGTGTGAAACATTGGTGGAAAGAAGGCAGTCAAATCATCAAATGAGATCAAGAAGGAAAGGCCCTGTTCAGTAAATGAAGGTGGTTTGGTCACCTGTGCTTTTTGGGTGACAGCTACTATTGCTTTTTTATTAGTTTTATTACTTCTTTTACCTGCATCTGCTCCCTCACAGATGTCTCAGCAAAAAAGCAGAACTTGAAGCAAAACTCAGCAAAGTGGAAGGCCTAGTTAGTATGATAAATTGTAGTCATTAAAGAAGAAAACCAAACAGAAGAGAACATGTTCTCGGCGAGGCAAATAAATAAATAAATGTTGGCACATTTACGCCGATAATTCGACATTCATTAGTCAGGCAGTATTACTCCTTTTATCATATTAAAAATGGTTTTAATGGCCAAATGAAGGTGGCAGATGGGACATAACTAAGAGAAAGGCTGTTTGTCTCTCTCAGACTTAAATGCAGTGAACTCTCCGTGCAACATCACACTCCTTCAGCCTTCTCCAGTGTTTTAGTCTCTGTTGCAGGAATTGCCCTCTTCCTCCACCAAAAACACTTCAGGTAGATGCTGGGTTATCTGTGTCCCCAGCTGATGACAGCCATGGCTCTGTGTGCCCACCTGCCCTCTCTGCAGTGCTCAGCTTAGCTGGGCAACTTCTTGCTCCAGGGCAGAGGGAAGGCCTGGTAAGCTGTAGGCTTCATTGCTGCTTCATTTTTTCTTCATTTCCTCATTGACTTCACTGCCTAGCTCTGAAGAGAGTGGTTAGGGATGTAGGTGTAAATTGAGTTTGATGCTTGGTGGACCTTTCTTTTTTCTCTTTAAGCGACTACTCCCTTGTAATTTTGAAAAGATTGCAGCTTATCTGGCTGATGAATGTGTGAAACTGAGCTGGGAGCACAGGACCAAAATTCAGCAGTGATGTGGTCACCTGTGTGGGTCAGTAAATGTGACAGGAAACAGAACATTGTGTGTCACCTGCAAAGCACTTGGTACCTCAGGTGGCTTTTAGACAGCTCTAGGAAAAATGTGTAAAGTTTGCACTGGCACATGCATGTGACTCTAAATAATTACCCAGATCTAAACTAGGTAGAAGAACTTGAGCTGTTCTGATAGTGGCATGGAGCAGAGAAATCCTGCAAGTCCCACCACTTTGGACCTGCCCAAGGCATGTTGATGTTCACAGAGGAAAAGACATGCTGAGCCTTTTCATCATGCAGTAATAAACAAATAGCATAAATGAATTGAAGTGAAAAAACCCCATAATTTTATTTACCCGGCAGAGGAACATTAACAGATCAGCTTCCCATCTCTCATATTTATTTAGACATTTATTCCCTAAGTAGATTTGCTTTATGTCTGTGAGTTAGCTCTCTGGATATCTGCTGATGAAGACTAAGAGGGGCTGTCTGTCACCTGAATGAAGTGCTCAGCCACTTCAGCTTCCAGCCCTGCACTTCATGAGGAGCTGGATTTCTGATTGCATGTGCCAGTTTTTCCTTTTCCTGCTGTTCTTATATGTGAGCAGGGCAGGAGGACATGTCATCTGTGTTACTTTAATATCTATTTTATTTTGGTTCCTGGTTGTGTTATAGTCTGGGTATTGCTTTCCTGTGAGAGCTGCAATATGAACTCGTGTTCTGCATGTGCTGCCTCCAGCTCTGTTCCTGCTGCTTGGTGCTTCCCTGTGCTGTGACCACAATGGAGTCATGGCAGAGGAAAGGAGAACTCAGTAGCAGGAAAAATTGTGTCTATGCCTGAGTGCTGGGTAAGGACAGATATTCCTGACATCTGTCTGACAGCTGGCTTGCTTTGTCCTTCTTCTGAGGCTCATCCTACTCACAGGAAATGTTCAAGGGCTCATTCAGTTTTTGCAGTCTTAGCTGTGGCATGAAATGAGGCTGAAGTTAATCAGCCCATGGCTGCTGCAGTGCCATCTCCCTGTGGCAGCCAAGGCAGGCTCTGCACTGGCACAGAGTGTGATTGAACTGGGCAGGACAAATACTGGGGTGGGAAGCAGTCCCTGGGAGCTGCCTTGTCCCTGTGGCGTGTCCAGGCTGCCCAGGGAGTCAGGAATAACAGTGGGAAGGGTCAGGCTCCATCTCCCCCTGCTTCCCAAGCCACCAGAATGCTTCACCTCACTGCACAGCCAGGCTCTTGCACTGGGATCTGCTCCATGAAACCAGATAAGCTGCTGGACCCTGTCTTGAGTCTGGTCTAGGAGAGAGCTGAGATTTACTTTCCTGCATTGGACTTAAGGAAAAAAAACCTTGAGAAAAGCTCAGGTTGTTCACTGGTTCATGTTGCAAACAACTGTTTGAAGAACAGAAGGGAGAACCTATTTTAGTTTTGCTTGGCAGAGCTGGCAGTTCCTATTGTGGGCTGTACTTATTTCTTAATAACATCTCCATATTCAATTTTCAAAATAAAATACACAATTAGTGTATCACATACCAATCTTCTGCAAGTGCTTCTGTTAAACACATTTGGTAAATGAGAGTTATCTTTGACTAATCCCCTGGCTTTTAGCAATTCACAATCAGTAAATTGTCTTCTCAAGCCCAGATTTTATTTAACCAATTCAGATTATTTATTTTTAAAGACATGATCAAAGTTCTGTGCTGTTCCCTGCCATAACTCCCCCAAGTGATTATGAAACTCATTTTTAACCACCATCAGCAGTCTTCAAAAATTATCTACCACTGCTTTATGGCTTCTTTTTTTCATTCACCTCAGCAGTGCTTGTGTAGCACCTCCAGCCACACTTGCAGGGCAGCTGTCTGGGTGGCTGTTTGATGGTGAATATTACATTTATTGCAGAGATGTAGGGCCCATCTCCTCTCTGTCAGCACTCATGGCCCCATGCTTGGTGAGAAGCCCTGCCAGCCCCGCCTTAGCCCGTTCCTTACATCATATTTAGGCTCTGTGGCAGGTGGGATTTGGCCATTTGGAATTTATGTCCTTTGCTATTGGTTGTGTTTAATGTTTGGAGGAAGTCTTGGTGGAACAGACCCCTCTGCAGGGTGAGGACTGCCAGAGAGCCAGGGGAAGAGTTGGGTTGCCAATGCTGCCTGGCCCCATGGCATTAAACAGAACTGGAGGGGTTTATAAACCCTTTTTGGTCTTTTAGAGCAAATCAGGGCTAAGCAGAGCCTTTTGCAAGCTCTGGTGGCAGAGCTGAGAGGAGATGTTGGCACAGAGAGAGGCTACATCAGAAGAGGCATGTTGGGGAGGTATATGGGGATAGAATATAAGAAAATAAAGATAGTGTAGAAAATAATCTTACCCCTAAGGGGTTGCAGCTGGGTTAATTATCAGAAATTAGGAGCAG